GAGCTTGTGTGTGAGGTGAGCGTCCGAGAAAGAGAGGAGCAACTTAAAGCTTTGTGAGGTGTGTGAGTTGAGTGAAACACTTGAGAGGAAATGACAGGTCTAACCAATGACATCCCGCTACCCAAGTTGACGAAAGGTGCCAACTATGACAACTGGAAGGTACAAATAAAGGCTCTTCTTGGATCCCAAGATAAGCTGGGATGTGGTCGAGAATGGGTATGAGGAACCGGCGAACACCGATGGGTATTCAAATGCCCAGCTGAACGCATTGAAGGCCGTTCGAGCTAAAGACAAGGCAGCTACGTATCTACTATACCGAGCCGTCGACGAATCGGCTTTGAGAAGATAGCTAACGCAAAATCCTCCAAAGTAGCATGGGATACACTTGAAAAAGCAAATAAAGGAAATGAAAGGGTGAAACAAGTTCGACTTCAAACCCTTAGGGGCGAGCTTGAAAACATGAGGATGAAAGAGTCCGAGAGCGTATCCGAGTTCATTACTCGAGTGGAGACCGTGGTGAACAAAGCTGAATCAGTATGGTGAGAGTCTTTCATCAAACCGAGTTATTGAAAAAATTTTAAGATCATTAACAGATGATTTTGAGAACATTGTGTGCGCAATAGAGGAGTCCAAGGATCCGTCAACGCTCACCCTTGAAGAGCTTGTTGGGTCCCTAGAAGCGCAAGAGCATCGAAGATTGATGAGAGGAGATCATACTCGCTAATGAAGGTTCTTTATTATATCATGATGGAGGTTCCGTCCAAGCCAAGAACAACAAAGGTACAAAATCACGAGTATTTTCTGTTTGTCCTTATTGCAAGAAAAATAATCACACACCCAACAAGTGTTGGTGGAGACTCGATGTGAAATGTCACAAATGTGGTCAATTGGGACATATAGAAAAGATATGCAAATCACAACCAGAGGAAGTCGTTCAATTTATAGAGGATAGAAAAGAAGAGGTACTTCTCCTTGCATCAACATGCTCTACAATCAACAAATCCACATGTTGGCTAATAGACGGTGGTTGTACAAACCACATGACTCATGATCGAAAACTTTTCAAAGAGTTCAAAGAATCACATATTTCTAAAGTGAGAATTGGTAATGGAGAACAAATGGATGTGAAAGGTACATGAACAATTGCAGTTAAAAGTCATTCGGGTACCAAATTAATTTTTGATGTTTTATATGTTCCTGATATTAATCATAATTTGTTAAGTGTTACTCAATTATTGGAGAAAAGTTATAAGGTGTCTTTTGAACACAAAGTTTGTGTGATTAGAGATACAAATAACTTGGAAATATTCAAAGTTCACTTGAAAGGACAAAGTTTCACTTTAAATTTGATGAAAGAAGAGTTGATTACAAACGAAGATATACAAGAAAAGTCAAAGAAAAAGCATGAAGAAGATTTATTGAAGGAATTTCATGTTAAGGAGGAAAATAAAGATGTAGATGAAGAAACTGTTTTCAACGTCCATCAAAGAGTCAACAGTACTACCATGAAGTTTGAAAGAAACAAAAGAGATGAAGTTGATAAAGGAAGAAATATGTTGATGAAGAAAGTGAAGAATGAAGATGTGATCTCATACAAGAAAGAAGATAACAAGAAGTATAAACAAAAAAGGAAGAAAAAATATATCAAATTCAAATAAATAGATATTAAAGTAAGGAGGAATGTTGGAAATATTACTTTATTATCTTTTATTTAAATTGGGTATTAAGAGATTTTATTATCTTTTAAGAGAGAAGGTAAAAAGACATTAGGTTATTATTCGATTTAGACAGTTATGATTGAGATATTATGAATATTTAATATTTTGTAATATTTTTACTCTATATATACATAGAGTACATGAATAAAAATATACACACATGATATATCAGAAATATATATACACATAACCCTTCAAAATACCAACATAATTTTCTATTACTTCACCCTGTGGTTGAAATTGAGCCACGTTTCCATTTCTTTGCCAGATTCTTTGCTTTTTTTTTCTTCCAAACCGACGATAAAATGGGTCAGGTCTGCCGTCATAATATGGTGGGACAGGTTGATATTTTCAGCTCACCAGCCCATTTTGGCCCGTCCCGCCAAGCCCGCCAACTCGCAGAGCCAATCCGCGCGGACAAGACAGAGCCGACCAATGACCCACTTAGTTAATAAAAAAATAATTTTTTTATTGTAATAAAATTAATTATAAAGTTAATATATAAAGTTAAAAATTTTAAAAAGAGAATTAAAAAAGTTTCACCCTTACGGAAAATATTCTCATTACTCGAGACACAACATTCTCTCTCATGTTCTCCTTGTTCATCCTAAGCACTATTATTTTTATCCTTATGACTTGAATTAAAGGTATAAGAATTACTCTACCAAGAATAATGTGAAGTTTTATCAAATAAAAAAGATATAAGTATTTAAATTTTTCAATATAAAAAATATAAATTTTATAAGTTTTAACATTATTTATATATATATATATATATATATATATATATATATATATATATATATATATTTGTTATTATTTATTATTATGTAAATTTTATTATTGGTCTAAATTATAATTTTTTAAAATAATATATTGATTTATATTATTAAATTGAACTAATATATATATATATATATATTAAATTATTGACAAACAAATAATAATTTTATTATTAAATTTATTAAAAAAAATTATTTTAAAAAATAAATTATTTTTTTTTAAATTATGACGGATCAGTCCGTGAACCGCCTCTTAGTAGAATGAGCCAAGATTTACTATTCTCCATAATTATAACGGGCTAATCCGTCTCACTTTTAACAAACAAAAAAAGGAACGAATAAAAAGAGGAGAGACTGAACGATTTTGTCATCCCTAATCACAACCCAAGCAACAATGTCACTTCGTAAGACACAAAATACAATGGCTCGTTCGGTTGTTTAGGTAAATTCAAACTCTAAATAGTGAAACCTTATTTGTTGTTTCTTTTAAATTCGCCAGTTTTAATTAAAGATGTAATATCATGATTAATTAATAGATCAGATTGGACCGTACACTTTTCTTCCTTAAAATGAATCGTGATAATTTTGACTTGGTGTGACAAGTGGAGCCAGTGAAATTGAAATTGACAACTTGATGTAACATTATTTTACTATATAAACAAATTTAAATTAAAGAAAAAAAAACGATAGACTAACGAACTACACCAGACTAATAAAACAATTGTCTATAATTAATTTTGATTAAGTTGATATCATTATTTAATAATTAAAGCCTAAACCCTAAATTTTAATCCTACTTAATTATTTGACAACTCTATTTATGATAGTTTATCTACTTATTATGTAGGTGAGATATTGTCGGAGGGATATCTTCCCCTGCTTTGAGCTGAGCTTTTTGCCTGGGTTTTTGTTTTGTAGTTTCATGCCCAAATCAAATAAGATAGCTGTAAAATTACTGTAGGGTGAAGTAGTTGGATATGCATATGATTTTTTATTTTTTTAGTTAATATAAACAGTAATGTTTTTAGATATTTAAATTAATTTAATGAAATAATTTCATTTTCAGTCACTCGTCATCCATCTGTGAAGTTTTATCGAGTATATTTTTTTTAAATGTTCTAATAAGTGATATAAAAATTAATAATTTATTTAATCGACTTACTTAACTATGATGAAATTGGTAAAACATTATAGTTCATGCACTTACATCATCGAAATTAGTACAACATTATGTAAAAATATATTTATTTTTAAAATATATGAATGAAATTATTTACAATTTTAGAATCAATCTTAAATATAATATCTTTTAAAAAATTACTTAATTATAATTTTTATTATTTATTTAAATGGACTTGTTCATTATTAATATGTGATTTTTTTCTCTTTTGATAAATTTTTTTATTTTATTTATCTTCTCATATATTTTTTATTTCCTTTTTCTTTTCTATCTTATTTTTCTTGTTTTTTTTTTCTCACTTGTTCTTTTAGTTAAAACTACTATATTGAAAATTTAATAAAAAATGTTAAAGTAATTTTTGTTTAAATAAATTTATTTTTAATCTAAACCATAAACCTTAAAACTAAAAAATATAAACTAATTATTTAAAATTAAGATGACAGTAAATAATTTTATTTATTATGACAATAAATAATTAATTTGAAATTATTGCCTCATACTAAATCAATTACTTATTTTAATATCAAATATTTATGAGTTAAGTGTAACTTTTTAATTAGTAACTTAATTTAATTATAATTAAATTGAACTATGATGATTAATTAGATTTTTCTAAAAATTTATTTTGAAATAAATATTTTTTAATAACTTATAACATAATATAGTATCATATAATATTTTTTAAAATATAATATTTTTATATAATTTAAATATTTTTTAAAATAATAAAAAATCTATTGCGTCAAATTTTAATATAATTTTTTAACGAAAATGATGAGAAAAAGTGAGAAAATGATAATAATAAAAAAGATAAGTACTAAACGAGAACAACGAAAAAAACCACAATTAAATAAAATAAATATTATATGAAATAAATTTATTTATCGTTATTTTGATACCTACCTAATAAACTAGTCAAATAAACTTAAATATGTCGATTTAAATAATTTTTCAATAATATATTTTTAACCTAATGTTAACATTGAGTTGCAGATGTCAAATTAATATAATATTTTTCATGATTGATTACTATTAAAAATGCTCTAATTTTGCAAACATGTTCTCTTAATTTAACAAAGCTTTGTTGTAAAACTTAAATAGCCGTAATTCACGTTTATTACATACACAATTTGACTTCTACAATCTACATGAAACTTTTTTTTTTTTTCAAATGAGTCATTATTGAACAAAGCAAATAAAATTGACAGAACCCAAATTTTCCCTTCTCATAGACGACTTAATTTATACATTTGTATTTGATATAAAAGTTGACATTAAAAATTATTCTGACACGTATAATATTTTTTCTCTTACCTGTAGGGACAATGTCTGAAAAGGCAAAAAGGATGGATATGAAACAGTAGAGTAACATGATTTTTATCTACATCGACTATGGAGGACAACATAACATGGCTCCAAATTTGTATGATTGGCGAAATCGTTGAAGCTACTTCCATCTCTCATGCTTCTTCAAAACACAATCATACTATTTGGCAGCAAAGTAACAAATAAAATGTGAAAGGGCCTAATTTGTGGTGAACGAAATCAATTCTCATAAAAGTACCAATTTTAAGTCAGGGATAAGGAAATTACATGCACTACATGTTTTCGTATACTTCTTTACAACTTTCAATTTTATTCATTATTCCATTCTCCATTATAACTAACTCTGTTATTTACCTCCGTTAGGTTTATTTGGAAGGATAAAGATTATCCAAACTATACATTTTTTTTTTCGCACGTACATTATTTTTAGGTCTATTTATTTATATGTAGTTTTTTTATTGAAATCAACGTGTAATGTAGAGATGACAATTAAAACTGTATCTGTGGGGACTAATCCATCTCTGTACCAAGTTTGATAGGGAAAATTCAAGTTGATCTGAGAGCGAGGATGGGTAATGCGGTTCGATCCTGATCCCGTCCCAACTTTATATTTTATCTTAATAAAATAATTATATTTTAAAATATTAAAATGAATTGATAATTTAAACTTTTATTACTTCAAACTAATTAAATAAGAATTAAATTATTAAATATTTTCTTATAAACTATATATTTCATATTTTTAATTGACAACTTAAAAATGAATTAAGTTATATATATGTAATAAAATGTTTGAATACAATATTATAATAATAATAATGTTATAAGTATTCAAATATTTGAATACAGTGTTATAATAATAATAATAATAATGTTATAAATATTCTCTATATATATAAATAATTAAATATTTATTTTACATATATATTTTAATATAAATATATTAAATAAAAAAATATATATATTTAATTAATAATAATTATAAATTATAAAATTATAAATATTTATTTATATATAAAGAATACGTAAAATTAATTTATTATAAATATAATTATCTTTTTAAAAATAATATAAATCGCAAACGTAACGAGTGAAGAATTCATAACCCAATGGAGACAGATATAATTAAAAAAGAAAAGTCGAGTGAAGAATTCATAACCCAATGGAGACAGATATAATTAAAAAAGAAAAGTCAGAAGTGGGAATTGAGCAGACAAAACCTTCTCCCACTTCCCGTTACCATACTATTTCCGTAGTTGTTTATATCTAAATCCAATAGATTTTCCACACAAGTTAACAAGAATAAAATTTAAGAAGCGATATAAAAAAAGTAAATTTCTATATCAAATATAACATCCTGTTTTTATTAAATTAGAAATAAAAACTATTTTCTATATAAGTTTGAAAACTAAATTAGTAAATATCCACTCTCAATGTCATTCAATTTATTTCTTCTACTGAGAAACTGGATTAGAAAGTTTAAAACAAATATTGATTTAGATATACAAGGTCATAATTCATGTGTACATTTACTTATTTTTAGTTGTTTTTTCAGGCTGATTTTAACTGTTATGAATTAAAAATCAAGAAATAAGGTTATTTACGGAAAAATATTATGATATTGTTTAAATAAATTTTATATTTTAAAAATGATTTAAATTTGAATACAAATTATATATAATCAGTTATGAGATATTAGATGCTAACCACTATAGTCTCGTATAATTAATTTTTTCGATTCAAATCAATCATGATAAATAATTTATTTGATTATATTAATACATGATAAAATTTGCTTTGTAAATCCAAATAACTGTGATATTTTATTCACGTTTTCTTATCATATTATTAATCCAAAAATATTCAAAAGAGAGTGATGATAAGTTTTATTTAAATATTCGAAAAATTCTTATTTATTTTTGTAATTGTGAGATTTAAGATGAATTTTGTAAGAAAAAAAAATATTTGGTTAGAGTGAAAAGATAGTATTAATTATGATATAAGAAACATATGCAGTTGGAGATTTGATGGAGCTAAGTTTGCAGGAACGACAGGGTTATTTACGATGAAAATGTATGAAGTGAGGTCTTACAATGATAAGAATTCCAATAAGAATATGGTGGGATCAAACTCACAACTACTTGATTGGGTCTACGAATTCAAACGTTTGAATTTGGCAACACTTGTCACCATTGGCCTCCACGCAAGTACACTGCACCCCATATCTCTATGTTTTTTAGAAAAAAAAAAAATTACCCAAATATATTTCTAATATGGTCAAATTTTTTTTTGTTCACGATAATTCATTCAATTGGTATACATCTTACAATCTAATAGTGTCAGATTAAATTTAATTTATTAACTTCTTTCAACAATAATTGCAATTATTATTATTAATATTTTATAAACACTACATATTTTCAAAATAGAATATATTTTCTTAATTAAATTTTTTGATAGAAAACCTAATTTAAAATTATACATTAATGAATTAATTTTAAATGATATTTTGTGGATTAAAGTTGAACTGAAATTTAGATTTCATTGTACACTAAAATTGTAGGATTATATTAACACGAAAAAGGATATATTCTTTGTTTTTTACATCAATTTGACATCTTTAGACTTATATAATTACGCACAAAAACAACAAGAAAAAATGTCTATATTATAATGTTCTTGACAACGTGCTTGCATTAACTTGGAAAATACTTAAGAGTTTATATACTTAAGCTTATACGTGTAGAAGAGAAATATGGTTTATATTACAAGGTGTAGATTGTGTGGTTTACTTTTCTCCCACCAAAATTTGTCACGTATATTTATCTTGTCAAGTAACAAATTGAATTTAGAATACAGTTTATACATGACTCAGCTATTTTGAATTTTTGTCTAATAATATTTGTTCTTTTTATTTGTTAAGTTCAGCTCTATCTTATTTGCCCAAATCTGATATAATTAACCACCGCGATAAAAATTATTAGTAGAAACTAGATTATTAGTTCTGAAATCATAAAATTAATCATTAATTCAATTACAAATTAATTTAGAGTGTAATTTCAATAAATAGTTAATTTTGTATACCAATATAGATTATAATTCAGAAATTAATTTAACTAAATTAGTTTATAACTTAAATAACTAAACATTTTCCATCTCTCAATTAGTTTACATTCAACAAATCTAATTTTTTATGTAGATACATATATTACTTTTAATATTATTGTATTTCAAGGTGTTACTTTTAAGTTTTATGTTACTCTAAATTTTATTGAGAGAGAGTTTATAATAAAAATTGTTTAGGAATAAAATTGAATATTTAATTATGAGTTTTACATTTAAAATTTGGTTAAAATTACTTATATAAATAATTTTTTTTAAGTAATTTTTTCCACTTTTAAACAACTCATATATATAATTTATAATAAAATATTTACTTTATTCTTATGTAATAATTGATGGAATCACCAACATGATGTAAGATCACAAATAGTGTTATTTATTTATTTATTAATGTATTGATACAGTTTTTTGTCGAGTGAATTTTTTAAAATCTGTCGATTTATAGGTCTGATTTGTTTAACTCGTAGGTTTAATCCACACATTGGGAGATTAAAAGGTATGCCATTTTGGATAAGGAAAAGACAAAAAGGTCACAAATAAAATAAAATTAAATAATGTTTTAATACCAAACTCATCTTATCCGTTTAAAACGCGAATTTTACATATCATACTAAAATCGAAATTGATGGGATGCATACCATTATGTGTAAGTGTAATTTGGGTTGATAGTAACAGAGTTAAACGAGAACATGGGTGTTTTGGTGCTTTCACAGATTGTGTTTGGTTTAGGCAATTGGCTTGTGACATTTTCACTATGACTGACATTTAATGGTTTAAATCTATGCCTGTCTTGCACGGGTCAAAACTTGTAAACGATAAAAAAAGTATGGATATGGGATGGCCGAATAACACTAATTTTTATATGTAAACTAAGGACAGAAAAGGGTCCCAAAGAAATATCACAGCTGTGTATGATTGGCTAAATCATTCAAGATGTTGGTCCCATCTCATTTATCTTCACAAGACAAGGTCATAAAATGGGACCAAGAGAGATGAAAAAACTTGCATGATTGGCTAAATAAACCACCCAAGTAAGCATTGGTGCCAAAATTTCTTTTTTCATGTAAACTTATTGTATGTAAATGACATTAACCTAGCAATTAGTGTGCCCACTTAATTACACATTTGAATCAATTATTACAGTAGAAAGTCATCGCATCAGTAAACAGGATTGGAGAATCGTTTCCGCCAAAACTCAATGAAAGTATTTCAAAAATATCACTTTCTCTCTCTCTCTCTCTCTCTCTCTCTGTACGAGACATTGACCATTAATTTCCTGAACACAACAAGGCCGGAGGTTTTGCAAACGTGTTCGTACACAAATGGCTCTACGTAACGAAGATCAATAAGGTTTTCTAGATATAATAAAGAATACCAAAAGATAAAAGAAACAATTCCACGTACTATGACATACACACGCACACACTTTCTATCTCTAGGCAAACTAGCTCTCTTCATAAAGGCGACCCACTCTATACGGTAAATGCACCATTCCCATTCTCAACCCTTCTTTCATCTATAAATTTCCCTCCCAATTTCCCCTCCAAACCACTCCAACTCAGCACGCATAACCTCATTCCCTCATTCTCACACAGTAGTGTCACTGATGAGAACTCTTCACCACGCACCAACCCTCATTACACCACAGTACACAACCCTCCTTCAACCAACCAAACCCGTACAAAAAATGGAGAAAATGATGAACATGAACATGCCCCAGTTAAAATCATCGTCGTCGTCACTTTCACCACCACCATTTCCATTGCCGAACAAAGTTGGAAAGAGATGGAAGGAGTACCAAGGAATGAACAATTGGAACGGTTTGTTAGACCCATTGGACGAGAACCTTCGCGCTGAGATTCTCCGCTATGGCCATTTCGTTGAGGCCGCGTATAAGTCATTAGAATTCGACACTTCTTCCCCTAACTACGGCACATGCAAATTCCCAAAGAACAAACTCTTGGAACGGTGCGGGTTACACAACACGGGTTACAAAGTAACCAAACACCTACGTGCAACCTCGGGGATCAAACTACCTAGTTGGGTGGACAAAGCACCGAGTTGGGTGGCAACACAATCAAGCTACGTTGGGTACGTAGCAGTGTGTAACAACAAAGAAGAGATCAAACGACTCGGTCGAAGGGACATTGTTATCGCATTCAGAGGAACCACCACATGCCTTGAGTGGCTCGAGAATCTTCGAGCCACTCTGACACACGTGATTAATCCATCTATGGCAACAGGGATCAAGGAAGCAGAGCCATGCAATATGGAAGAAAATGGAGCCATGGTGGAAAGTGGTTTCCTGAGTTTGTACACCTCAGCGGTAAGTAACAACCCTTCAATTATGAGCCTGCAAAATATGGTGAGAAAAGAGATTGGTCGGATCCTTAAAACTTACGAAGGAGAAAACTTGAGTTTGACCATTACTGGGCATAGTTTGGGGGCGGCATTGGCGGCTCTAACGGCGTATGACATAAAGAACAGTTTTCTCCGGCCGCCTCATGTGACGGTGATCTCCTTCGGCGGCCCGCGCGTGGGGAACCGGAGCTTTCGGCGGCGGCTGGAGGAGCAGGGGACTAAGGTGTTGCGGATTGTGAACTCGGACGATGTTATAACGAAAGTGCCGGGATTTGTGTTTGATGACGTGGAAAAAACTAACGGTGACGAGGCGGAAAATGGAGGTACCCACGTGGCTAGTTTTCAGAGATGGATGCGGAAGCGCGTGAAAGAGGTACAATGGTTGCTGTACTCTGAGATTGGGGAGGAGCTTCGCCTCTGTAGCAGGGATTCTCCGTACCTCAGGGGAATCAACATTGCCACGTGTCACGATTTGAACATCTATCTGCACCTTGTTGACGGCTTTGTCAGTTCCACATGTCCCTTCAGAGCCACTGCCAAGAGGTTCCTTCACCGTTGAGAAAGTAAGATGCGTTTATTGTAGATTTAATTTATTTTTAATCGACGATAAATATTCATTTTACTAAATCTTTTTACATATTTTTTCATTAAGAACGAGTTGTAAATACCAGCGCAGAAAAAAAATTTGAGAGCCGAGAAAATTATATTGGTCACACGTGGATAGCATTTAATGGTTTTTGGAATGTACAAATTGAATGAGTTATTACACATTTTGTTTTGCTTTTGTCCTGTACATGATAGCGACGGAAAAAGTGATATATAGTGTGGTGCGGAAGAAGGGTAATGCATCATGGGGAACTAATTTGCGTATAATTTGAAGATAAAATAAGGTAGAAGAAAAATATGAAAAGAGTAGTGTGGAAGAAAATGGGTGAAAAAAAAGAAAAGGCAGTATGAGGAACTAATATAATAGTTTTACGAAAGCAAAGTTGGGAGTGAGCACAGAACGGGTAATGAAGGCCCCATTAGATGGCCCCAATCGGTGTATTTTTGAGTTCCAAGCAGAGAGCATGCGTGCTTTCCACCATTGAGGCTCGCAATGTCCACTTCAAAGTTGCTAACGAAAGCCACTTCCAATACGTGAAGGTTAATAATGCAAACATGTTTCCGTGTAAGGAATACATTTGAATAAACTTCCATCACAAAAACAAGTGCTCTTACCCATAGGGAAACCAAGCGCACAAGAAACATTCCCCATTCTTTTACAACATTATGCATTTTTCCTTCTTCATACTTCTCCAACCCTACATACTTGACTTAGATAGATACTCGTTGGATTTTTTTTCATCCCAATATCTCTGCATGATCACGCCATTCCCACCCTTCTTAGTACCCGTCTCAATCATATCCGAGAACATGGAAAAGGGTGTTGCCAATGCATAGTTTTCAATTTTTGTCCTAGCTTCTTCTTCTTCAGATTGCTATATAGTTCATACCACCTCACCGTTTCAAGAATAAACAAACGACAAATGGAATAAAAAACAACTTGGATTGGACGTTTCGTGTCATTCAAATCATCAACTGAAATTCCATGGTGTAAAATAATGGGTCAATATATAATTATTAATGGAATCTTAGCTTCACCAATATATGTATTCAATGGTAAGTCAATGATCACATACATTGCATATATTTGGAACTTGGAGTCAAAAAGTTGTTGAAAACTTAGTTACAATGGAAAAGTAGTTTTCATTGCTTAACAAACTGATTGATCGGTCAGTCCCTTTCGCTTTGAAAGTAACTTCTCAAACCTATATTAGGTTGGTGTGACAAAGATATAATTGTAATATGTAATTTATATATATGAAAAAGGCAAATTAAAACACCTTTGTCGTTTGTCATAAAAACTAAATCAACTTTTGTAAAATATAATTTATAAAGAAGAAACATGGAAGAAAGAAATGAGAACACAAGGAATGTTGTGATAAAAAAGAAATTGAGAAGTAGCCCAATTATGTGTTGAATCTCTGATATGTTACTCTAGAATGTTTAGTTTGAAGGCACAAAAGTGTTAGGCTGTTACGCAGAATGATATATAATATATAATGAAGTCTTGGTAAACAAAGAACATCTAGTTATTCTTCCTAGCCACTATCCTTTCTTATCATTATTATTTCTTTTCCCTGACGTGTTCTCTCATAGCTTTTGAAGCAATGACGAGGGACCCTTTTCTTTGGCCATAGAAAAACTTGTTCAAGTAATTTCTTATACATAAACTAGTTTTAGTTTACAGAATTGATTTCATTTTCCTTCTTATTCTTCTATTTCAAAGGTAATTATAGAATTTTTTTTAAACAAACACGGTAAGAAATTATTAAAAAAATAGTTATGTTGTTCTCAAGGTGCTTGCATTATTTTGGAGGTTGTCTTCTGAAATAAATGTGTGTAAATGAGAAATATTGTTTTATGTGCGGATAAGACTAGTCATGAACATGGTTTAAGACTAAGATTGAATTTTTGTTTTGGAGAAGTTGGTCCATACACAATGAACAAGGCACTGCTTGGTCTCATGCGTTGGCAGATTTTTTTGTGCAATTTCGTGGCCAGGGTTTGTTTGTGTCTTAGACAATGGGCTAGCTTGTGAGGCACTTTTACTAGGATAGGCATTTGATGGGTTGAATCTATGCTTCTCTTGCACGGGCCAAAACTTGAAAAAGATAAAAAGAGATGCAAATGAGATGGGGGAATTACACTAATTTGAAAGTCGAAAGTGAGGACATAAAGAGGGTCCCAAAGGAAGATCATAGGTGTATGATTGGTCATAAAAAGGGACCAAGAAAGATGAAAAAACTTGTATGATTGGCTAAATCACCCAAGTAAGTGAGACCCATCTCTCATATCTTCACTACACAATTTGGATGTGGGTTTTGGCATGAGAGTATTTGTCAACAAGTTAAACGTGAAACGGCCTAATTTGAAGTGAGTAAAGTGTAGTGTTATGTTTAGCTCCTATGCAAGTTGATAAAAGGAAATTCCATGCAATTCATGTTTTCCTTAGTCAAATCTCTTCAACCATGCAATTTTCCATTTCATTTCCACCACCAATTTAATTATCACATTCTTTCTAATTGGAGAACACAATTCATACCAAATTCCTCACTTTTCAATAAATAATTATTACTAACCTCTATGCTTCTAAAATGAATTATGTACTTCAAAACAGTTAAATCTATAATTTTAACTTATTAAACCACTCCACATGAGCATGAGTACAATGCTATGTAAATTGTAATTGAAAATACCCGATAAATTCCCCAATAGAGACCAGGTAAAGAAATTAAGCCATAAATGGTATTCATAATATGCTAATCCTAATAGGTTTGAATATAATTTATTTTCTTAAAAGTAAATGTTAACCCAAACAATAATACTCTATTCATTTTTTTTTATCTATTTTATAATCCATATGTTATATTATATTTGTCTTGTGATTCATGTGAAACACGTGAAAGCTTCAAACTTTCATTTTTTAATCCCAAGTATACAACCTCTTTGTATATATATGTTTGACTAGATTGAAAGACATCAATCTAATATTGTGCTGTGTCACGTGTATCTTAATACTGGATGTACAGATCATGGGGTATATATATTAGTGGTGTTAAAAAAATGGTAGTTAATTATAAAAAAAATTAAACTCCTTTTTAAAGATAAATTATTTCTAGTTCAGATTAAGAAAACCAAACTCATAAAATAATGGTTTCAGTATATATAATCATCTATTATGAGAATTGAAAAAAAATAGTCACGTGATCATTCTTTTTAAATAATGTTTTACTCGGTTTCTAGTTGTGATTTTTTATTAGTAAAATTAAGTCTAAAGATGAATTCGAGGTTTTGTAAAAACTAAATTATTTGTATAATTGATTATGATGCATATTTTTCTTTTTGTTTAGATAAGTTCTGTTGAAAAATGTTTTTAGATATAAAATTTTGTTTGTATAGAATGAAAAAAAAATCAGCTTTTATTATATATAGAAAATGAAAGGATTTTCCTCTTAAAACAAAACTTACACGTCGACTTTAAAATAATTAATTTCGTATGTATTACTTTGAAAACAAATAATTTTATGTCTTGGAGCTTTCGTTTATAGATGATTCATAAGCATTAAGTTCAGAAACTAATTTTAATTATTTCTAAAGAAGCATCTAATTATAACTTGTGGCAACAATGGAGTTTTTGAAGAACCAGAGAAAGTTTAACAAACCTGAGTTCATTGTTTTCAAAGCTATTAATTGGTTTCATAGGTTCTTTTATGTAAAATGGGCTATTATATTAATTTTAGGCCCAAATCATTCGCCACACAAATATAAGGCTTTTTTCTTCAAGCACCCACCTCTTCTTCCTTTATATTTATTCAAATTTATATTTTGTTCTTTTTTTTTAACACATCCAGTGAAAATGTCATTTCTTATTTAAAATTATGTTACTATTTCTTATTTTACATAGTATGAATAGCTTTTGATTTTTTTTGTATCTATTTTATTGGTATGAAGTATTTGTAAATTTGTTAATAATTTTATATGATATTCTACCATCGAAGCCGTCTTAGCTCAGTGGTAGAGCGCGTGGCTTTTAACCACGTGGTCGTGGGTTCGATCCCCACAGACGGCGTTTTTATATTTTAGTTTCAAAATTTGAAAATAGTTATTTTTAAGGAAATTTTGATTTTTTTTATTTGGAAAAATGGTCAAAGTCAAAGAGTTGAGTGAATAGGCTACATACAAGTAGTAATATATGGTCCATAAAACAAATGCGGCTTAAATATTAATTTATTTTCTTCTTATGATTTTCTTATAAATATTGATAAAAAAAAGCCCTTAGAAATTGCAGCGCTAAGATATTCTTTTTTAATTGGTAAAAAAATAATTTTCTCTAATATAATTAGTTACTGATTATTAGTGATAAAATATCACATTTATTAAAAACTAATGTCAACATATAATAATTTTGTCTACCTTTCTCACTTATATTTCAACTTTACCATTGTTATTTTGTTGAGAGACTTTAACTTATATTTAAATTCTAATATTTCTTTTATAAATACTATTATCTTTAAATAAAGTCATTTTTAAATTGTGATTACCAAAAAATTGGGATACATATTTTAATAAAGACTCTTATTATTATCATAAGAGAATATAATTTCATCATCAATTTAAAATCTTAAATTTATAGTTTTTTTATTTACATATTATTCAATTTTATTATTTTTATCTAACATGTCATTTTAATTCTAAAAAAGAATTTAATTAATTATTGAAAGCTTAGTTTCGATTTTAAGGAGATCATTTCAGGTTTACCTAATTAAATAGAACAATGGAACCATGATGACCAACATTTTAACTTATTATGTCATGTTTTGTCCTCTTTGCAAAATATACGAAGCAGAATCCGTATACATAATTCTTGTGCCCTCACTTTTAGCATTCTACTTGTTGTTTTCTTAAAATTTAATCACTAAAAGTTTATGAATTAAAGACATATTTTTGATGTTGATCCGACAAAATATATAAGGATGTTTGCTTTGAACAGGTACACAGTTCTAATTAATTATCTAAAATATTTTAGTTCTTGATAGTTAGAAAGTGAACTTGAATTATCATTTGAGATCTTAGGAAGCACGACGTTGCTCTAATATTTAATATACGTGGTATAGGTATTTGATAATGTAGGGTACAACGTATTAGGTGAAAACTTCCACCATGCATAACACGTTATTTTTCAGAAAGTTGATCCCTTAAGCTTTCACCACTGGTTATATCCCAGACCAAACATATGCCTAACATTATTGAAACCAAATGAAGATAAACATAGGAAAAAGTGATGTGAAAGATATGCAGATATCACGTGGTTTTAGGAAGACAAAGGTGGTCGGTGCAGTTCTAACCAGAACATTATTATTCACTTCAAAGTGTTTATTGATCCTAAGTGTTCATATTCGTCTACAATTATATACATCAAATTAATTCTCATTTCTTTTCACTTACAATATTTACTTTTATTCTCTCTAGAGGCAGCTCATCCTCAAGATGTAACTATCAGCCACACAAATTATTATCTTGATGAAGATAAAACTTAAATGATTTGGACGGAAAAAGAGTTTATACTTATGAAATGGTTGCGTAATATCATTTAAATGGTTATAATGGTTAAGTATAAGTTCAAGCATTCATTTTCTGATTTTCTTGCAACGTTTTCTACGAAAATTGAAGAGAGGACTGCATGCATGATGATTATGACAGTAAGAGCGTTGAAAGAGTCAATTTGTTGACACAGTTTTTGGGTCATATACAATGTTTTTGCTTGATTTAGAGTTGTCACATTGTTTTATTCAAAAGTGGT